GTTTTAATGTCCTTTTCTGTAGAGAGATGTATGTGGAATCTACCACTAGGTAGCTATCCTCTAGAATAAACGATCACGAAATAATACTACAAATATAGCTCACCGTGTATACTAGGTGACACAGAAGTTCATTGACAGCAAGTAATTCAGAGCTGGGGGGGGGGGTATAAGAAAATAAATGTTGGAGGTATGGAATGAGTTAATGTTGACATAACCTGTGACAATATCGTTGAGGGTATACAAAGTCGTCTTCAAGACCTGTACTTCGGAAATTTTATTAAAAAACATCATACACCCAAATATAACTAGCAAAATCACGGAAATTGCTTTTCAGTTATAGGTTACCTGCTTTGTGCTTTATTTTTTTTCATGAACAAAGGTTTAGTTTTCAATACAGCTTCTTATTCATCGAAACTTTATAACATTTTATATGTGAAACTTTGTACAACTGATTATAGAAATATACATTCATATACCTTCATCTATATTTAACTCCCATAAGCTTATTGAAGATAATTAAATAAACATCATTAGATTGCCAATTTAGAAATGTTTGAAATACATATTCAAAAAATAGCAGATATATGATCGTTAAGATCATTCTAATGTCGCAGAATACAGTCGTTAATACTTTACAATACTAAAAGTATCAGATAATTACTCTTCAAAATGGAAAATAATCATGTTTTATTTATACACCTACGTTATCATTGTTGGTCGAAAATTGTGCTTTTAATAACTTACGTTAAAAAAAACCCAATAAAGTCCTAACACTTTCGACAGAGTAAGCTGTCTTATTCTTCAGGGGCGAGGACGAATAATAAAATTAGGTGTAAAGTGTGGACATAAGTTGAAAATCAGGAAGTTAGCATGGTTGACCAGATGTGGGCCAAAGTCACTTGTTAGTTATGTGAGAGTTAACTACTTTACTAGTTATGAGGTAGAAAAATCAATTTAAAAAAATAGAGAAAAAATTATAAATAATTGAACAACTTACCAATTCTATAAAATTACAGATAAACTTGTAAATCGGTCAAACGAAGACAATGTAAAAAATATAAAATATTTTTTAGAAAATTCAAACAATAATTATATATAATAGGTAAAATGAAGATGATTGTAAAAGTAGACAGCAAAATGTTATAGATATGTCACTGGATATAACAAGTGTAATATCAGTTAAACAGGTAGATAAAGGCAGCAAATAAAAAACAAAAGTTGATTTTATCTTAAGTTTAACCAACAGAAAATATATTAAAGGTCAAAGGTTACTGATTCTAGAATCAAGGTTAATGCCATAAGAATTGGCCCGGCATGGCCAGGTGGTTAGGGCGCTCGACTCGTAATCTGAGGGTCGCGGGTTCGAATCCCCGTCACACCAAACATGCTCGCCCTTTCAGCCGTGGGGGCGTTATAAGTGACGGTCAATCCCACTATTCGTTGGTAAAAGAGTAGCTCAAGAGTTGGCGGTGG